CTGCGCGTTTGGTAAGCAGTCAGGTTGTTACAGTCTTACGCATTTGGTAAGAGAACGCATTTCTCGGAACACGTTCTCTTTAAGGTTCCTCGTCTGTGCTAATCTGTTTTTGAGTGGAAAATTAAATTCAATGTCACTTCAATTGAGGCATTCACTAGGTTAAAAAAAATCATGCAAGATATGTAGAATACAGGGGGGAAATGTTAAGTATGTTCTGTATTTAAAAACTTAAAAATTACTGAAATTAAAAAGTACAGATAGTTAGCAACTAGGAATAGAAAGGCTTCTGGTTATCTTGGCCCTACAGTATGTCTTGGCATTACAAATCACTTTTATGGATTAAATTGGAATAAGAAAACAAGTTTTTCTGACTTTCAATTCCTAAAGTATTTTTTGTCTGTGACCAGACTAGATATTGAGCTAATGTGAAGAAATTATTTCTTTAAATCTTTTTGATAGCTGACTTGACATAGCTGATCCAGTAGCTACTCCTATTCCAATTTGTTTTTCTTCTCTCCCAGTGGTTTGAATTTCCTTAAAATTTCAGTGACCAAGACCAGTCTAAATATAGTTGGTTCTGTATTTCAGTATTTTAGTTGGGCCTTATTGTAGATGGATGTCTTTCAAATGACTTCTAAAATATTTGTATGAAGAAGAATGCCTATGTGAGTTTGTCTGTCTTGTGTATTTAAAATATGTATTTTTCATAAGAAACTAATTTTTCCATTGATGTTGAGTCTTGCCCAAAGACCAGTTCAGAGCTCTCTTTGCAGCTGGGATACTTGTTTTGTTTGTGTCTGTCTTCCCCAATGTATCTGGCTATCAGCTTTCATGAAGCTTTTTTTTATCTATTATTCTGCTGTGCATTTCTAAATCTACCTGAAACTCGACAGAATGGCCAAAAACTACTGGTAGGAAAAAGTCCGCGTAGAGATGTGGATACTGTACTGTTGCATAAATATTTTACTTTAGTTAAAAACTAGATCTGATCTTGTTTCCAAACAAGTTTGTCTTAAAGTCCGTTTATTTGCCTTCTACAGATTTGAAAGCACTTTAACATCTTCTTGGGGTGCTTTCCTCTTTCTCCAATTGGCTCTAGCAAGCATCATGAGGTTTCTAAGTGGTTTTACCATATCTTTTGATGCCTCCGAAGAAGAAATGTACCCACAAGGCCAGGAAGGCAGAGCTGGTATTCCTTGAGAGGCCGCGAGAGGGACCCGTCCATTGCTATGAAACACCGCTACCTTCGGCCAAGAAGCCAAGACGTGTTCTTACAAAACCTGTAGACCAGAACACCTCTGCCTGGGTTGGTATAGATTATCCTTCCCCTACGCCCCACAGCAACAGTTTTCAAGTTTCTCCTGCGTGTGTCAACAGAAAGCTACCTGTCCCAGACACTGAAAACTAGTAGCACAGACCTGAATTCATTGTAGCTGCCTAAAGAAAAAAATAAGTGCTTTTGAGTTGCTTCATGTTCTAACTACAACCACTAAGGTCTTAGTTATTTGAAGGCATAAAACTGTGTGCAGTGTGTACTGATTAATATGACTATCTTCTGAAATACTAATTCTCATCAAGAAAATACTGTTTTCTGTGGCAACTGAAAACCCTGCACATAATAAACATTAGGGGGAATTATTTTTTTATTGGCTTGCTGCTTGAAATAACTACTGAATTCTAAATGTTACATGTTAAAGTACTAAGTGTTTTGTTTAAATCTGATGCTGCTAAATTTAGAGAACATAGGCTTTCACATCAGGATTATTTGTTCTAACCTGTCCTCTTTTTCATTCTGTGTGTTTTGAATAGTTTCTCACCCTATCACTCTTCTGATGGGTTCTTTTCTGGTCAAAAAATAAAAAACCCCAACAACAACAAACCCCCCCCCCCCCCCCCCACAAAAAAACAAAACAAC